TTGTAATATTTATAAATTTGATATTTTACCACTACGGTCGCTTTAGTGTGTACCATTAATAATTAATATTTTGAAAATATATTAACGAATTTGGAGCAAATTTCTAGAAATGAATGTTACAGCATATATTTTTATGTGTAAACGTGCAATCGATTATACATACTTTGATACTTATTAGATACCTGATGCTGAGCAATCGGTGCCGCCTATGGAAACCCGCAATACCAGAGAAGTTGCAAATGCATTGCAGGCCTTTTGGGGATAAGGGGTTTTTGATTGGGGAGGGAAAGTATTGGTCTTTCAGTAACCTTACTTATACGGCAAAACACTACGCTAGGGTTCTTTAACGCTGGTTTTTACGAAACCGTGGTATCACTCGGGTCGAGCCGACTCATTAGTGCCAACGCATGGCTCTCCCATTCCTAAATTATGACAAAGTATAGCTATAAAATATTTGCTTAAAAAATTAAAGATTTTAGGAACAGGAAATTCAGACGGAATTCAAATCACGTAACAGCAACATATTACGTCATATATATGAATAACTGCAAATAGATATCTGTGTTATATTGTCAATAAAAGTTGTAAAGAAAACTAATAGTTGCTCGTTTGTTGTGTTACGACTATTTTACCGTTTTTACGTTAAATCAGGGCTCACGAACAGTTGGTCTGTACTCTCGCGGTGTTTTTATTACCTACGGCCTTACTTCCGTGATTGCTTTCTGAACGCTTTTTTTGTTCACTATTTAACATCTCCAAGAGCACTATTAGAACAATTTGTTTCGTTTTTATAGACAATTTTGTTGCCATTCGTTGCCTGTGAAAACAGAGATTTGTTGAGAATTTCTTTTCGTTGGATTTATCTTTATCTGTTAATTAATATGGTTGTACTAGTAGTTACTACGGTACTTCTTTATTATTCTTTGTTGAATGTTTGTCGCTTATTCTTAACATGAGATTTTGAATTCGTTGTTTGTGTTGGGTAGAATATTGTTGTGTGTTCAACTTGACATACTAAACAATGGAATATTACATAACAGCTGTCATCACAATGTCAAGATTTTGTCAACGAATATTCGTACAAAAATCCAAAAGTTGACAACGTCTGCTCTAGCCGGAGGCATGTAGGGTTCGCCTTACTATCGGTATCAATATGGGGGAGTAACTCTAATATTAAAGTTATTTATTGTAAATCGCTTCCTTTGCCGTCTTACGAGCAATATCTCAGTTTTCGTAGCTCGTACAAATAGCATCGTACGAGTATTATCAAATAAATGTTGTGTATAGAAAAACGTCTAGCTATGAAAAACTCAAAACATGTTGATGAATGCCCAAGCGACTCGTATAGATGAAGCTGTCAGTGAGAACCAAAGCACACATCTTTCTAAAGGAGGGCGAGCAATTAATCCGTAGTTAAACCGTCTTTAAAAACATATTTTTCATTCATTCAACTTTGAGGAAAATTCATATACAAAATGAATATCAAAATGTATACTCATATTATTTTTTATTAAGAAACGAATGGGATAAAAAAATGAGATTGAAAATCCGTACTGTTGGTATGAATGTAGTTTATTAGAGTATCAAGGACGCGACAGTAAGCAGACGTTCGTGGCGGTGACAATGCAAACGCGAGGGGGCCATGTTTGCTCGCCGCGGTATGAATAAAGATATTCCCGTTATTTGTAGTACAGATGTCATGTAATTTCATTGTGTCGCACAATATTTAGTGTAAACACGCGGGGCGGCTCCCGGGACCCGACTAGATAACATCTCATAGTTCCGATGCACGTCGCGTATCACACAATAAAAACACATTTTTATGTCACAAGAAAAAATATTTCTGCCTTGCTAATAAGGGATTTGTACGCGATTATTTGCGATAATATAAAAGAGATTAAGTCCCGTTACCATAAATACGTTAAAATTGGGTCACGTCACAAAGCGTTCGAACAGTTTTTGACAATTTCTTTCTTTACCAATTCTATTCGATTGTCGAATGGGATAATGTTTTTATTATATTATTCTTTTCTTAATTTGCAAAAGAAATTATTGGGAGGAATTCCCATGTCTTTGTAAGTACCTACTGCAGAAATGAATTATTAGAATGTACTTAACTATATGATTGTTGTTATGCTTGCAATCAAGATATTCTGAGCTTGTTTTGAAGAACAGAGAGTTTACGTTGTAAATTATATGCTTAACTTAATTATTGAATGAGTCCCTGGCTCACGCAATACAATACTTACAACAAAGGCTCTCCGCATTAGTACGCCAGAAACAAGTTTCAAACAAATATAAATATTTGATTGTCATTTAAATTTTACTCATGTGTCAGCGATAGAAAGCCTCCATATATTGTGAATAATTTATCACTCTGTCTATCTAACTCCTAAATTGAACTAATATCTGAACTCGCCTATTCGCAACTTAAATTGGCACATACCTTTTGAAATGAAACCGTGTAAATTATTTATGCCACGCTCCTGTCACTGCGAAATTTTCCAGGCCACATTGAAACATCGATATGGTGTTAATAAAATCATGTCAGTCATAGGCAATCGGGACAAGCAAACATGAGCCCTCCATTAAATGATAATCCTGCCAATTTATCGGCGGAGCAAAAAATATACGGCATTGTGTTGCGACTTGTCGAACATGAAAATTATTTTATATAAACACATTGAGTATTCCCCGCGCTCGCCGCTCACGCTCGCAGATTACTCGGATCCCCCATCTTGCTCACTCGTCATCTGCTGACATATTTTTTAAAATGGGGTGACGGTAATGGAATAATAATAAACTGGAATTTACTTTTTGGTCATCGTACTGAATCAAAAACAGAAAGGGGTGTGAACATATTGCTCGTTGTAGATTGTTTTCATTGTCGTCCAACGGACCAATACTGTGTAATCAACGGTTGGATAAAATGAAATGGAACTCACAGTCTGAGCTATTTGTCGCATGTTTGACACCAATAACAGGGTTCGTCGCGCATTAAAGCCACCATATGTCGGTCATATCAAATTTATTTCTATTATTTTATTGGTTTGGTCGCCGATGATTGCCTTCATTACGTTTATTGGAAGTCACTGAGTGAATTTGAATTTATGGTCAGTGATATGGGTGATAGCTGGATGACTATAACAAAGTGAACGAAGTAATAAAGGTAATAAATTGGTTTCACTAGGCTCTACACATCGTCCACTATTATTTAGCTACACGCCATTAGGAACCTTTAGGTACGAACCTCTAATATATTATTACTTAACTAATAACCTAGGTAAACATTCAGTGTTGCTGTGTTGGAAAGGTGCCTAGATACGTAAGTAAGAGCGTCGTCAAAAGACATTCACTGAGTTCCCGCAACAAAGTGTAACTATATTAAGACGAGCACAATAGCTCCATCAACTGTATGAGCTTAAAATCATCCATTTAAATAACGTTTTTAAATAAATACTGCGTAGATAATAGGAACAATGCAATATTTTGTCAACTGCCGACTGCGGGCCGCGGAGAGTGCACCACTGCGTGAAGCGGAAAATCCTCGGGACATTTGAGGACATTTTTTGTGGGATAATATCCGCACGACATTGTCAACCGGCTATTTAATACATCAAGTAACACAATACTTTAAATACGACTAGATTTGTGCAAAATTTGAAATTGTTACGCACACTGATTTTGTATTACACGATTGGATTAATAATGTCTCTGTTTCGAGCGAATACCGGGAATTATTTATGTAGCCTTTGTTGTATGTTGAAAGCGGGTAACTATTATTTAATACACGTTAAATAGATACCTGTTCAACATTCGATATTGTGAAACGCTAACTAATCGAATCATGATAATATTCTAACTAGATAATTATCATTAGAGTGATGATCATAAAATTTTACGGGGCTATAAAATTGATGATAAAGTGATAAATTTATGTATTTTCATTTTTTGTTTGGATATTCTATGAGCGAAGACGTTTTCACCCCCGTACATTTACCAAATTGAATAGGTTCGGTGAGTCCCGATGGCAGTAATTCTCTATTGAGACGCAATAAAACAAGATATGACAAAAATATCCGATTTCATAAAGCTTTGGTTTCGTGACGCGTAATATTATATTATTTAAGGGACATTATTCCCTCTTTTGTTTGTGGTTCCTTTCCATGTTTTATGTCACCAAATGAGTCGGCGCACACTACGCGATTTTAATATTTCACTCAATTCACATGTTTTATTCGATGATTATATCTGGTATCGGGTTGCATGTAGTCCGAAATATTTGTGCGTTTAATTCAATTTTTAAATTGTGTACATCAATTTTTGTTTTTAAAATTGTATTCTTTGAGAATAGGTTTGCGTGGAAACATTTAGAAAGTAAATAATTTATTTTAAAAAGAAGATTTCTATACAATAAGACAAATACAATAGTCGTGCTGTGTGTAAAGCGTTTGTTTGTAAGCAGGTACTTGTACGTAATATGACAAGAGAAATTATTGGTAAAGAGGGCTCGGCTTCAATGAAAAGGAAATATCTTGACAATTATGAGGCATTAGTGCGGTTGACAATGGCGACATATTTTTTGTAAAGCTTTCATGTGAACCTCAAACAAAACACACAATACAACCTTCTATATTTAGGACGGTTTAATTAATTATACAAATGTACAATAGAAATGTACCTATAATCTTTTGAAGTTGTCGGATTAATCAAGTATATAATAATATGTAGGTATTAAGGTAGGTAGATGAATTATTTTTATAAACGTTTCGTTATTAAAGTATATTGATTAGTATAAGAGTTGTATGTTTGTATGTTTTAAGTGTGGGAGAGTCATGCATCGGCACGAATGGGTCAGCTCGACCGGAGTGATACCGCGGCCTCAAAGAAAACCAGCGTGAAACAACCCGAGCGTTGTGTTTCGCCGTTTGAGTGAGGTTATCTGAAGTCCATTCCTTCCCTTCCCTCAATCCCTAATCCCCAGAAGGTCGGCAACGTACTCGTAACTCCTCTATTGTGGCAGGTTTCCATAGGCGGCGCTGATTGCTTACCATCAGGTAATCCGTCTGATCGTTTGCCGATCTATCATCATATACAAAAATGAATTGTTATCGATAGATGAACGATTTTGGGGATTCGATTTTTTAATTTTGAAAATTGTGGTTTTAACTTGTGGTGATTATTAGGTGTGAGTTTGAGATGCCAGCTTTTCGAGCATGAAGGCGCGGATTCGGAACCTGGCTGGTACCTACCATTATGAATTTTACCGGGCTATATTTACTTTTTAAGATTATTTAGACACCAATAACGTATGGTGAAAGAAAACATCGTAAGGAAACTTGGACTTATTCTAATTATGTATAGGTAAGTTTACAATTGCCAATCCGCCTTGAGTAAGCCTAGTGATTAATACTCAAACCTTCTCCTTGTGAGAAGAGGCCTTTGATCAGCAATAGCTTCTTATAGGCTGATGATATTTTTAACAACTCACTAGATTATCTTGAACAGTCGTTATCGGTGCTTTTGAATTTAAAACTTCTTGGTTCATTGATACAGTTCGCTTTCAGTCAGCCGATCTAGAAGATATAGACATTATGTGACTGAAACTGGAAACGATGATGAATAGGATTCAATCATTTTACTTGTTTTTTTTTTAGATAATTCTCTTCCTACACATCTTCTGTACGTCCATGACTGTGCAATGTTGATAGCGAAGATTGAGTTGTAACGAAATTCCCTCATTTATTACCTCTTACAGGCTTTAAACACATCATGTAAAGCGTACCTACAGGCTGCAACTATTCTTAGTAAGTCCTGACGTTATAATAAGCGTGTGTTACATGAAAATTCTCGCATGCTTCGATCGCTAATGGTATAGGTGCAGATATTGCGCTGGCTTGTTAGTTTGGCTCCTTACAACTTGTTATAAGGTTGGTGTAAACACGCGTGACGTTCGTATCACGTCATCAGGCACGCGAACGCGCCGCGCGATCACTCCTCATCCCCATAATACAATTATAAATGCGAAACTGGTCGCGTTTGTTTATTTGTCAGTAAATCACGCGAAACCCGAGTATTTGCGGCCATGGAGTTGCACTTAATGTTTGCATGAGATTGAGAACCCTCAAACCAATATTTATTGGTGTACACGATGATATGTTATAGGGTAGGTGATATTAACATCTTCATATAACTGATTATTTTTATTTGCAGCGTGCTATTTCTTTTTTGCGAAAACATCAACTTAATTTGAAATTTGGAACCGATTTAAATATTGTCAATAAAAACAAAACGTAAATATATACTCAGCTATAGCTACTCCAACTCAACACATGCGTACCTAGATAAAAATTCATTCCCAGTTGATTCTTACCAAGCCTTACATTTTCTTAACGTAAAACTAGATTAATTGATATAATTAGACCATTATAGGTACACACGACGAAACTCGTGCTAACAAGCAGAAAGGGCAATAAAATGGATCCTTGCATCTGTGTTGCAGAATGCTAAAAATGACGAAAAAATCGATATTTATGTAGGTGAGGTAGTTGCGTGCTCAGGCTGCGTGCGGCGGGCACATTCGACTTCGTGCATCACATCGCCACCCTAATTAATATAAGATCTCAATTAAATTGCGACACATAACGAGGAGCGGAATTTTTACACACACACTTAATATATGGCCAACGTTTTGTCTCAGAATAAGGGAATATCCAGTCAGAATCTGAGAACTCGTTTGTCCATGTCACATGCGACTTTATACAAATAGAATAAAATACATTTTAAAATTTTATGATCCAGAGATAAAGCTGTGAAAGTACTATCGCGTTTTAATCAAGATTAATTAATGCGATCGCTTATATTTTATTACGTAAAGAATTGAAAAATAAAGAGTTTAGTTGGTTAGAAATGCTGTCGGGTATATTTTTAGATTGACCGTGTAAACTTGGTACAGCTTAAGATACCTCGTTGTCGTCGCGAAGTTGCTGAAATCGTTACATTGATTACTTACTGAACCACATATAAAAGCATGGCTTTCTTCTAATTATAAATACACGAACAGGTTATTTATTAATGATACTAAAAGAGATTGTACATTAATTTCCTACTGAGCTTAATTGACATCGTTTTTATTATGACTGAATAAAATAAAATATTCAGGGTCTGAGTTATAAATGTTCACTTTTCCCTTTAATGGTGTCCACGGTTAGTTTATTTGTGCCGGTGTCGTCGAGGCAAGGTCCTGACCAAGTTTTGAATCGTAATAATTTCGGTTCAGATTACCGATGCTGATAGGGCGTCATCTCACCTCTTGCCAGGGACGAACTTGGGTGCTGTCTCATTCATTAAGTAAATATGTACTTATTGCAGCACTGGTTAACCTCATCGAAGTAATAAATATTAAATTTGAAATACTTTTGGGCGTATCCCTTCAAAGCTAACAGGTGAGATGATGACGATGACCAAACGTTTTGTAAATATATTTGATATCGCCTTTCAACCAAAAGATTTTGGCTCCTATGAAATGCGGGTGAAAAAGGGTTTCCAATGGTCTTTACTTGCTACGAATTCAGATTTGGGTTTACGACTAATAATTTGTCAAGGGAAAAACCCAGTTACAGTTCACCGTAGCAAATGCAGGACCGCATACAGTCGCATTGTTCGCAAATACTAGGCAAGGCATATTGATGTCTGTGTGTCTAAACAAAGAGTCAGCATGTTTTTTGTAAAGGTAAAGTTAATTCAAGTTTATATTTGTTCATTTAGTGTGATCTAAGTCCACACCTGTAGTGTCGGTGGTAGAAGGCCACACGCGGTCGTGCGGGGCAGGGCGTGCCGGGGGTACGGGGCGAGGGGCGGGGGGCGCGGCTCATTCATGTTGTTAGATCCGACCGCTCATAACTTAACTCCTAATTTATTCGTCTCCACTTACAATCCAGTTTTGGTGCAACCTTCTTTGTAGCACCTCTTTTACTATGACTATTATTAAAACGCTATTTTGTATGTATATGTAAATAATAGTTATCGATTCCAACGTTTATGTTCGAAAATTAATATTAGGTGAAGCTTCGTTGATGGGATGAGGTTATTGACCGCCGCAATATTTTTGTCTTAACATTTAAATAAATCGTAAACGTAGTCCTTAGTCCTTAGCATATCCAACTGGCTGCACTAACCTGCCAAAAACGCACGCAAATAGAGTTGTCCCCAGCAAGCAGGTATCTGCTATTCCTCGCAGCGTGCTCTATAACTTTACACCTGTACATAAACACGTACATAAACTAGTATGAAGGCCCTTAGCGTAAACAACGCTTGTCCACGCACCCATTCATAAAATACTCTTATAAAAGATAAATAAATATACATACGTTTTGTATAGTAACAATGAAACAGTGCGGCCGATTGAAAATATCAGATTTCTTCCCGATCGTCAAAATGTTCGACGCAACAAGTTTTGAATCAAAGATTTTTTCTTCGATATTTATGTTTGTCTTTAATTTTTACTCCTGCGCCGCTGTCCATTTAATATTGGACGGGGACAGTGTTAACGATCACTATATAAAATTTTATTTCAACGCATCTCGACTTGCTTTTTGTGTATTCAACACGTCGTTGGATTTACTTTTTATTAATCAAACGTGAGTAACAGTTTACACTTACGTCTTGTAAGTTAGTTGTGCGTTCGTTTGTTTCATTCAGTTACTGATAAAACGCATGGGTATTGACAATTATAAGGTGTGATGTTTTTCAGAGATATATTTTAGACTTGTGACGTCAGATCATTGAGTATAGTTGATAACACAAAGACCTACACACAAATTACCTGATGCAATTCGCATCCGTAACACTGAAGGAGTTACGAATGCATCGCTGGCCTTTTGGTTTAGGGATTGCTGGATGCATTGGCCTTCCGGTAAACTCACTCACACGGCGAAACACAACACTGTGGTTCTTTCACGCCAGTTTTCTGTGAGGCCGTGGCATCACTTCGGTCGATTCAGCACATTCGTGCCAAAGCATGACTTTGCCAGTTTTGGGATTTTATAACCATCATATATCTTAATGGATAACTGTACTAACACGGTGTAATTCTGAATTCTAGTGATATAGGAAATGTAAGGAAAGGTATTGATATTGTTGAAAAAGGTTTTATTTTTTTGATAAACATTGACAACAAGACTGTCGTTTATAAGAATTGGTTTCTACTGTAGCTACATACAATATTGATAGGGTTATGATCAGGTCTAGATCAGATTAGTTGTACGACATGAAGTACTTAAAACTATCACGTATAATATCAGCTCGCAAACGCAACATGGTATTTCTAAATATCGGTCCAAAAAAAAACTGAAAAAAGACCTATTATGCCTAGATATTATTCTATTGAACTATCTATATGTATTGAACATCTTAAGATAAAGCAAGGAAGGTTCTTGTAGATAAATACTAAAATAACCATTTCTCAGAACTACAAACTCAACTCCTATCAAATTCAACAACTCAAGAAAATTATCGTCCAATCATTTCGGCTTTAGTATCAATTTGCTAGAAATTGTTTATCAAAAATAGATATCTCAAGTATGAACGCAAACTATGTCCAGATTTATAACAGTATAAATTAATTTGATTTAGAAGCCAGGCACGTTTCTGAAACAGATAAACAATTATTCTACAATCGATCGTATTTAATACTGCGTTCGTTTAAACTGGATCTGCCGCCCACGCCAATAAACAATTTCCATTTTAATTAATGAAATAGTTGCTTGCTTCCATATTCATATAAATTGTCTTAATGTCTTAAATTAATATTGGGAGCCGAGTAAACATTCGGTGCGTGGGACGCCGCCGTCGAATGCTTATGAGAATTAGGTGAGTTTTTTAAACTCGTTCATTTTTTCGACAAGTTTCAATTAAGTATTTATTTAAGCCATGTTTTATGTCAGGTGAGAAATAAGTTTTAAGTACATTACTAAGTAGGTACGTGTGTTTGCTCTAAACAAAATATTTGGCTAGAGATTCATGTAACGTTTTAAGTTTCCAAGCCCTGTCCCATAAATGTTTTAGTTACCATTGTATTCGACTTAATCTGGTGGATAATTATAAAGCAGAAACGATGTTAAAACAGTAAGTACATAAATAAGGTGTGAAAACATGGTCATAAATCATTTGAATATCGTGTTAAGTGAGTGAGACACATAAAAGCAGCAGCAACAAAGGTCGCGAAGGTTTGTGCGAGCTATCTCCGAGGAGCGCGCATTTGTGTAGGCCGATACGCGGGCCCCAGTGGACCGCGCGGCCATCGCGCCGCACCGCGAGCCGCGCCGACATCTACACACATTAAATATATCCATTTAATGATTACAATTTCTCGTTATAATTTATTTAGGACGAAGCATAACAAGTTTTCGAATCAAATATGTCGCCCATAAAGATGCTGACTCCGAGGGTTGGACTCCCAAACCTGTTAATTCTACAATGATCTTTTGTCCGATGCGACTTGACGATGAAATGGTCTCTCGTATCATGGATGTAAGAATTAAAACCGGTCGTTACGTCTCAGACTAGAATGATCGTTTTGAAACGACTCGACCGCGCTGTGCCAGGAGTTAAAGGGTTTCATGAGCGTGTGTCGACGTTAAATGAAATATTTCTTCTTCAGAATAAATTAAAGTCCATAATCCAATTCCACCGAGTTGCCGTAAGATTCGTTCTTATCGAGTCCTTAGAGGGGAACGGATAGATCGAGATCGGCCGGAGAGTGTGAATGAGAGCATTACGATCAAAAGGGAGGCGGCGGGAGGAGAGTGAAGAGGCTGTTGGATAATTCTTTATTCTTTATGAATATGTGAGCTCGTTATCTGTGGGCTGACGTGGCCCGAGACATTCGCGGCGGCGGGTGTGTGCGTGGCGGTGTGTGGCGCACACTGGCGCGGCGCGGCGGTGCGGCGGTGCGTGCGGAGCCCTAGTGCTGCCACTAAATAATACATAGGTATCGACAGCGCCGTCTGCGAAGAGCGGCGGGTACACGACCGGATCAACATACGGCATCGACGCCAGATTGAACGATAGTTCCCGAGGAACTGGTTATCGTTATGGGGCGACTGGCGGATGAAATTTATTGGCAGCGCGTTGGAGAAATGTAGCGAGCGGAAGGGGCTTGCGATTTTAATTAGGTAATGAATGTCGATGCAGATCTGCATATCGATTTAACGGCTAGATTTATCCATTCGTTCCATGTCCGTGTTTCAAACTCTAACTAAAACCCCAATTTAACGATTTGTACAAATAGATGGATGAATTTATTGTTTGCTGCAGAGTACGCGAACAGAATGAAAATCCATTATTTATATCGGTAATAATGTCAAATAAAATGGCCCCATTTTTATCAGGTTCCTAGTTTGTTTCATAAATGTTTGTAGGTGGAGCTGTGTGTGTGTGTGTGTAAATGTTCACTACACACTACACATACACTTACCTATTTGTTATGAGTGATTTTGTAAGAACAGTAACACATCTTCAAATATTGAAAGTTTGATGACTTTGATGACTTAGAGAATTATGTAGGCTTCCAAATACCCAAACATCTTATGGTGTAACTTTATAAACTTTTCAAAATATAATTACTTATCTATACCTATCGAAACATCGTACACGAATACCATCCTCAAAATCCCTGCTTACTTGAACCAACGACCTAAGTACTACGTCCCAGAGAGACTCTTGTGTCCTAAGTTAAAAATACCCGCCCAACTTTGTGATGCTACATATATTCTTTGCAATTTGTTTCTTTTAAGAGCTCAAATGATAAAAATAAATGGAACAAAAGTATGAAAGGGGATCTTTTGGACGGCACATTTCTCTTCAAAATTGACGTTTTTCAGAAGCGGTCGGTTTTTAACGTTTTAATTAGGGGCGCACATTACGGAACGCCATCACGCTCGCCCCTCGCTCTTTGCTTCACATTTTTGTATATTTCCGTCTATTTGGGGAAAAATTTTATTTTTCGACCACTGTGTGCTATTTTTGAGTCGCGTGCAGCCGGCGCGCGGTCTCCATGTTAAATCTCTGTGGGAAACTTGTATTACATTCATTCCTATCTATCACTGTTTTATACTAGTTGCGTTTATTTCTTCAAATATTTCGTACCGTCCTCCCGTGTGGAAACGTGAGTGGGATGTCATATCACAAATCATAGTTTTCGAGTCCAATTTTTTTGAATATTTTAATGTAAATACTCATAAAAAATTTGAATGATCTCAAGATTAACGTGGTTTTAAAAAATGTTATTAATGTTCTGCAGGAAATGTTTGCCGTGACGGATAGTGGTGACGATTGACATTTTCCTTCTGTTTAGTAAAAAAAAAAATAAGTTCGATTCTTTCAAAACGTGAACTTAAGTGGTGTTCTGTCAACAGTTGAGACATTAAAGTTGTTGAGAATTAACTTTTGATGTGTTTTTAAATGACGATGGGTAATAAAAAACTGCAGTCAATTTATTAAACACGAAATTGATATTTTCAACAAATAAAAATTGTTTACACCGTATTGTACGATTCAGGTCGTCGGAAAGGTTGACATTGTAAGGGTATAGAAAAAAAAACCCGTCGATACGCTAGGTACCTACCCTAAGGGCAGGCGTATACATGACGTCTAGATGTGTCTCATCTTTGTATAAATTTTTGTAAACACAAATACGTTAGAGTAATATTAATTTATTGTTTGTAACCATTACTTTTAGTACATACTACTTACTATTGTGAATGTGGTAAAAAAATGCGCAAGCGCAGTGATAGTTTTATTGCTCAGTACCCAAACACTAGTTACTTTTATGACTGTTAAAAGAATATTTCGTCTCTTTCTGTACCTTGAGAGTGTAAGGGATAGCGTATAAATAACGGTTATTTAAAATTAATCATTTTGCATCTAAATAAGTAGAAACAAACTAAAAAAAAGTTAACAAGGTCATTGTCATCGCTGAAGATAATATTTTTTTTTTGCCGATTAGTTAAATAAGAAAAATATTGTAGTGAAACATTATTGTATTGATAAAGTTGTCTGTCAAAAAATATTTTTTAATACTTACTATTTTTAGACAAATGACTATCAATACTTCAAGTTGTAACATATCTTTACAACTACATATATATGCAAATGTATGTAGTATGTCTGTCGATATTGTGAGTCGCGTCACATCGCGTCATTTGTCGTCGTTAGCGATGACGCATGATGATGCTGACCCTGCGTGTGACCCGCTCCATCATTCTTCCATCAACGCTGACGCTCTGATGACGACACTGAACATTGTTTGGGAGAGCTTTGAAGTATATTTTGGGGTGATTTGAGACTATGCCTAATTGACTGGTGGCTAGGGCTAGTTTCACTATCCAATTATTTTTTGTAACGAATGTTATATGTCAAAAAAAAAAATCGAAAAATGTAAGCACATATTTTTATGTTTCTCTCAATCGTACAATCGTGTGCAGAAACAGATGTCGTTCGCAAAAAATCTCTAATAATTAAAAATAGATATGTCAATGGGTTCTCACACAAGTCAAAGCAGGTGACAAAACAAAATGTCACCAGAGGCAGCTTTCTTTTCCCAGAAACGTTTAAACAGTTAAATTTTTGCAAAACGTGAATACCTCCCACCGCGGAGCGTGCAGAATCGCCAAAAATCTATATTTGTATAATGATCCTGTATTGAGTAACGAGCTCCCATTCACTGGGGCTTTTCTAAAACTGATTTATGACAATATGCAACCGAACAATCGACCCGTTTTGACTTATGATGGCCCGGACTGAGGTTTTACAGCTACCCTTTCAGTGCGGCTTCAGACAAACCCTTTCAGAAACGGGGTAATAAACTTTTATTATTATATTTGCAATAGCAGACGAAACAATTGTATCCTGCACCCCGTCGTTACGTGCTGTAGCAGCCAACCAATTAGTCATGAGCACAAAAAACTTGAATTTATTCAAACATACACCAAAAAAATGACAAGTTTACAAAATTTATGGCTCGACCGATGGTCATAAGCATTTTTTGGCTATTGTTTAAATGTTAATAAAATTTTAACACTTTGGAAGAACGTTTTTATTATATTGAATTCTGCGGAAACATACATACCTACACAGCGTCAGCTATACCTATTTAAATATTTGTTGCAGATGCAGGTACACGGTTTGATTTTTTAGTGAGAACTTGAACTCGAATCTTTTTCCGACGTAGAAACTTATCCTACATCGGTAACATTAAGCATAACAGTTTTAACAAGTGGTTTACATTGTAGATGAACTGTCGTGTCGGTGACAGCCGGTGTGTGTGAGTGACGCGGTAGTGTGGCACGCGTGCTCCCAGACATTTGATATGATATTATAGTGGTCGTGTACAGGGCGCGCGCCCCTCACGGGATGCACAGCGATGCGCTCGGGTGCATGCAAATGGTGCGTGGAGATGTGTGACGTAGACTCAGTACGGCTTCTACCCTCGTTACCACGTCGTACCATCTCATACAGACATGTGTAGAGTCGCACTCAACTTCACACCAATTTAGTATTAACACATCCAAGCTTCTAATTAAAATTCCTTGTCAAGTAATTTCCAAAGTATTTTCGTATTCTTAAAAGTACCTGCCAGGTTTGTTATATAAATATTATGCCGGCGAGATATTTTCACTCAAAAAATATCTGTAACAAGTCACAGAAAGTTAGTAGTAGCAACTCCATTGGCTTGTTTTTCAGCCGTTTAGTGAAACCAAAAATTTATTTAATTTGCTGCATTATGCAAACAGAGACATGCCTTTTATTCTTGGCGTTTCGATTCCATATCCGAGTGAAATAAGTTTTTGTGTCGTCCGGCCACGCTCCAGTGACTGTGCTGTTGTTACATTGTTCCCGGGAGCCTGCGGTTTTAAACAATTTCCATATCGATGTACGTACCAGCTAAATACTTTTTAATAATAGTAGAGCAAATATTTTTTGCGATAAATCTCGAAATAAGTGAAAGTGACACCGTGTGCGGACCCGAGCGCTCTGTCATTCTAAATCACCGTCTTTGTTATGCTAATGTTAGTCGATTTTACAGCTTTTCGGCAAAAGGGCTGCAAGTGAAGTCATTGTCACCAGTTCTGGTCAACTTCATATGCTAAACGTTCTCAGAATTTTGAATACTTTTGTTTTCGTTTAAGAAGAGTAGACGGATGGGTTTGTGTATGCAGATTATAGTATTATTATTGCGTTTATGACGAGAGCTGGGTTCGGTGTGTGGCAGCGGGCGCAGGGCTCGGCGGCGGGCGGTAGCTTCGCCCAGCCCGTCTAATGAGCAAGCGTGTTCGCCTCAATTGCACACAGCACTCTTATTCACCGGCAATTTATTTCATTTTTGCCTCTGATCGCGCCTTATTGAGCGTCTTTTTATCTTATTGCCTTCGTGGGTCCATAATACGCATCCTGTTACTTGCAAATGAGACACACACCGAACATGTTAGTGTTGGCTCGCTCATGATGTAGCTACGAATAATTAAAATTTCTTAATGCAGTTCTTTATTTAATTTAAACCATCTTTATGGGATTCTTTTGGAATATTTTGTTTTGCTTAAGTTGCCTTTTACTGGCAAAGATATTTTGAGCCACTAGTGTTGCACGCGATGAATCAAATAATTCAATTTCGTATGACTTTAATGTTTTGACGAGTTATGGCCTATAGAAGATATGAGGACATTTCCCGAAGCAATAGGCAGTGTTATGAGTAGAAAAGTCATTATTGTAATAACAATTTCTGAACCGTTGCCAAATGCCTGTCGGATACGACGCGACCGGGAGTGGGTTGCTCCCACCAGTATTTGTAGCAAAAATATAAAATATGTATTTTTTATATAAGATAAATCATCATTTGAAATTGTTTCCAACAGTTGAGAAATACATATTTACTCGCACATAAAATCTTGTTGTGTTCTCTTTAGTCCTTGAGCGAACCTACATACCTACCTACCGACTAAAGGTGCCTTGCGATTCTCGTAAGTTTATGTTCAATTAAAATTGTTAATGGCTACATTCTTATGTCCCATAATTTATTATTAAGATGACGATATCATTACGATTAGCTTCAAAGATATACTTATATTTTAATCCTCTTGTTTAGTCAATATATAAAAAGTCTATGAGATCCAATGGGACTGTGTAATTTTTGCTTGTTTTTGTA